AAACTAAACCCTTAACCCTAAACTCTAAACCCTAAACCCCGAAACCCTAAACCCCTAAGCTCAAAGCCCTCATGCCAACCCCGCCTTGCGAGGCGCTTCTTGTCCCCCACGTGGCTGGACAGCACACCGCAAAGCCCTGAAGTTGCAGCGTGACATCTATGGGAGTCTATAGGGTTTAGGGTTTAGGGTTTAGGGTTTAGGGGCTTAGGCTTAGGGTTTAGGGTTTAGGGGTTTAGGGTTTAGGGTGCCATCTATAGGGACCTATACGGTTTAGAATCGTTGTGGCGATGATGTTGAGGCTTTGAGGGCTCCCCCCCTGCAGCCTAAATCACTTGTCCCTGAACCTTAGACCCAAACCCTTGACCCCCTGAGCCCTAAACTCTAAACAGTCTAGAAGTATTCCTAACACCCAAAGTCTTCCTACCCTAAACCTCCACGCCTTACAGGATCCGAGGTATAACATTTGGTAAACCAAACAAGGGACGAACATGGTGACGCCCACACAGCTTCTCGTAGCCCCGTCATGAAGGTCCATTGATCCTCACGCCGGATGGGCTCTTCCGGGAGCCTACACCCCAGACCTTAATCCGTAAGGTGCAAATTTTTACAATTCCTAAGCCCTCCCTCATTCATCAAGGGGTTTAGGGTTTAGGGTTTAGGCTTCTAAACGCTACATCCCGAAACCCAACATGAATAACTACACCTCTCAAAAACCGTACTTTAAGCAATACAATCACGGGATCCTTTCCCTAAGGGCCCATGTGCTCAACTAGTTACACTTTGGCGTCAAAGTACGGATAGAAACATTTATATTATTTTTATAATATAATATAATATATATATATACTATATATATATATAATATTATATATCTTTATATATATATATATACATATATATATATATATATAGTTTTATATTTGGGTACGTGGACCCTCAAGGCTCGGAAATTCCACTGACTCTGCAAAGAGGCGGAAGGGCGTACCCTCCGGAGGCGGCTGGGGCACCGGCATGGCGTAGGGTTTAGGGTTTATAGGGCTTAGGGCTTAGGGCTTCGGGTTTAGGGTTGAGGTTTTAGGGTGCAAAACGGCAAGTGAGGGTTGAGAGGGCCTCTGGGGATGTAGGGTTTGAGTTTAGGGGGTTCGGGGGCTTTAGTGTGTTTGGCGCCGTCTTCGGCGATGGGTCTCTACAGGGTAAAGATGAAGACTTGGGCATTGCATGTTCAGCCGGAAAAAAACCTTAAGCCCGGACTTAAGCCCTATAAACTCTGCAAGTCTGTAACTTTAAACCCTTAAACCTAAAGCTCCGCAAGTCTGTAACTTTAAGCCCTTAAACCTAAACTGTTCACAATAAACCCTCGTAAACTCCGTCAGACCTGTGGGTTGGCAATTCTTGGGTTGGCAGGTCTCTTGAGCATAGTTTCGGCATTTGGTCTCTGGTTTATGTTTGGGGTTGAGGGTGTAGGGTTCCGGGCTGTATGAACAAATATGCACGCTTCTAATACGATGACAAAACATAATAAAAAAGCTGAATCTTGAGTTCAGGGACTCAGGGGATGCCTCCGGTCCTAAGCGCGATGAATAGACTGAAGCTCGGGGAGCCAAGTGAGAGCATAGCTTTGCTTTCGGTCGCGTCCCAAAGCTCTGAGCAGGATCAGCATGAATCGGAGCTGAGGGTTTCGGGCTTGTGAGGGTAGGGTTTGGGGTTTGGGGTTCAGGGTTTGGGGTTTGGGGGATCAGAGTTGAAGGTTTAGGGTTTGGGGTTCGGGGTTAGGGCTTATGATAGGCAACGTCTGAAACTCATGACGACACCGGGCCACCTTCGAGTTTCGTCTACAAGACTCAAAGGAACAGTCTTCCCAAAGTGGCATTTCAGACAAGTCCCTTGCATCGAAGGCTCACGATTTGCTATCAACACTGGCGAGTTGATCGTCCAGGGCTAGGTCTAATTTAAGGCCTATACTCCTTACTTAATTACTAAAGGATCTTGGAAGGTCCTGATCAGAATAGCCCCAACAAACAGGCCTACATTCAACCCTAAACCCTACACCCTAAACCGCTGGGCCGTACCCTTAGGGTAGGGTCTACAGACACATCGAAGCTGAAGACTTGAACCCGAAGCTTTGCGTAAACCCCTAAACCCTAAACCACGCGCCCCTACAGTCGGTGCGTCCTATCCTCCGCAGATTTAATGATAGTAATAATACCTAAATTTAGTAGTATTACAAACGATATTTCGTAACACTAATAGTGATACTAATGATACTAATAATAGTAATACTGCTAATCGTAGGGTCCATCACCGTCGTTTGCCCCGGTTTGTCTTCGAACAAAGCGCGAAAAACATGGAACGGTTGAGCGTGGCGTCCCCGTTATGATGGTATTGGGAGCAAACAAAACGCAAAAACACTTGATGTTTCTGCGCGGACGAATTTGTTGATGCTGCACAATGCGTTCTTTCACCCCGGCTTCGAACTATGTTGGACAAGCATGGCAGGGCCGATACTTTCGCAGGTTGGCATTGCTCAACATGGCGTTGCCGTTATGATGATCTGCGCAGCACAAAATGCACAACACAAATAAAAACGATGTTTTCTCAGGAAAATATGTGTCGATAAATGGTTTGGGCATGGAATCACTGGCCAATGGATGGGTTGGCAGCATGGACGCTATCATGGTTTGGGCATGGATGCGCTGGCCAATGGATGGGTTGGTAGCATGGACGTTCTCAAGGTTTGGGCATGGATTCACTGGCCAATGGTTGGGTTGGTAGCATGGACGTTCTCATGGTTCGGGCATGGATGCACTGGCCAATGGACGGGTTGGTAGCATGGACATGGCACGATGTAGACCTGAGTGACAGAGAAAGCAAAGCAAACGAGGGCGATGGAGCCTAACAGCAGTAGACCTAAGGCATACGAGCAGCTGCACCCGTAGATTTATCACCTCAAACCCTAAACCCTAAACCCCTAAACCCAATGGAAACTATAGCTAGGGTTACACCTCCAGGTTTCAGGGCTCTTCCGCAACGGGTTTGCCAGTTCTAGATTGGGGCAATAAGTTCCTGAATGATTTGAACAGGGCTTTGAGGCATCGAATACTTAGTGTACCTATGCAGGGACACTGGATCGGAGGGACTTTTTCGGATTACCCAGAACTCTATATGGGTAGTTTTCTAAATTAGGGTCCCTTTTGGGGTCCTTTCAATAACGGTGCCGCACTATATTGGGTACCCCAAAAAGGGACCCTAATTTAGAGAACTACCCATGTGGCCTATACCCCTCAACTGGACCCTAATATAGCACCCTAAATAGTAGGATCCTATTGTGAGGACCCCAAAATAAGGACCCCTTGTTTTCGGAAACTCCCATATGAGTTGGTCCAAAGTTGCAAGAGTCTTCTTTTCCGACCTTGCCCGCGACTGTCACAGCCGGCTTCTCCTGGCAGGTGGGAGGCTTAAGGCTTGCCTCGTGTGTCTGTGTGCACGCAGTTTTTATTGAAGAAAAGAAAGAAACGCAGCCAATTTCGGGGCCTTAATACTTAGAATAGGGTTTGGGGTATTTCATGAAAACATGTCAGCAAAGAATGAACCCTGAGAACTTGGCAGTTGTTCAGACCACTAAGGAAAGGCTTAATCGCGAAGCCTAATAATTGCCAATCGTATTTTGGAGGTTTCGTATTTGTAATTATAGCAAAAGATACCCCAAAACCCTGTTCTAATCATTAAGGCCCCTAGACCCTAAACCCTTATATAGTATAACCCTTATAGTACCTCCTTTAAGGAACCCTTTAAAGGAGCCCCCAAACCCTACTCTAATNNTCTAATCATGAAGGCCCCTACAGTAACGGTTCAGGGCTGGGGTCTTCGGATGTTTCCGGCTCAGGGCTAGGGCGTTCGGGCCTGCGGGGCTTGGAGAACGAAAGCTGTGAGTTCTTACAAGCGGTTGAAGTTTCTATAGGGCTTATAGGGTTTATAAGGT